GGGAGCGCCCCACTCCCTTTCGTCCCCACCCTCCCTGACCGGAACGCTCACCAAGTCGCGGCCTGCCCCTAAGCCCAGGCAGAGACCCAGTCTGCCCCCTCCTCAGCCGCCCACAGCCCCCCCAGGGTTCACTGGCCCAGGCATGGCCCCAGTTCCCCAGCCCCTGGAGCAGGGCCTCCTGGATGGACTGTCTCCTGGGGAGAGCATGTCTACAGGTAAACACCACCCCTTGGCAACAACACCCCCTCCGCCACCACAGGTGGGGCTGCAGCGGCCCTCTCTAAGACTCGCTGTGGCTCTGTCCAATGGAGACGGTGGACGAGTGTAGGACTCTGTAGGACTTGTCACTGTAGATGTAAAAGATACCTTTCCCCTTTATTGACTGTTCCCAAACGAATGTCTGAATGAATAAAAGTTGCCTTTTAGACACAGATGCCTGAGAATGATACAATGTAAATATTAGCATTTTGTGCTATTGTAGCAAGCAAATCTCCTGACCTATGTATTCATTGCTTGTGTTATGTGATGATGTTTCTGGGTAATGTGTGGAAACATCAGAGAAGCATAGCTCGTCCTGCTTGTATGGAAGTTGCCATTAGATTCATCATGTGCTCTCTGTTTATCTGTGTTACCCAGACCCTCACTCGGCAGAGGTAGGTCAGAGGCTTACACAGTTCACACAAGTCCAGTCTCTCTTACTGCGTAGCAGGCGTGGAAACCTAGCCAGACAAACCCCACATTATATCTACAATATGATGTTCTGATGATGAGGTGTTCTGTCATTATATACCAATCATTATGTTACTTTGTTATATTTATCATTCTCTTGTTCCCCCTGCTACTATTGTGTACCTTGCAGCTGTGTGAGGCCAGGGATTCAGTGTGGGCTAAGTGTGAGGGGGACTTTTAGGGTAAGCCAGACCGTCCCCGCCCCATGCGCTCCATCTCACTGCCTGGCCTCGTGCTGTGGCTGCCTCTGGGGTCTCCTGCAGCCTGCCTCAAACATACCTACCAGTATCTCTCAATCAGAACATTTTACCTATTTCCTCTCAGCAGGTTGGCATTATTGACTCTTTGCATGGTATTGTAGTTCAACCGATATTGCATGGCTTAAGGACTTCCCAGAGTGCACCACACTGCGCTCACATTGCAGACGCCGTCGCTTACAAAGGTCCATCTTAAAGCCCCCCTCCCTCCTTTCGTTCCCCATTCCCAGCCCTATGCCAGCAGACATCCCCCTCTAACACGCCTGCCACCGGTATCAGGGGGCCACAGGTAACCCCCACTCCTCCTTTGGCAGGTTCATCGCTTTTTATAACCTCTGCTCCCTCTTACTACACTGCCACGCTCCATCTCATTCCTACACAGGAGTAGTCATCTGTCTCAGCTTGGACCCGCTGCTTCCAGTAAATGCAGCAGCACATTAGAATACCTATATTTAGAACAAATACTGTATCCGGTCCTCATGAGATTTCCATTGTTACTTCAAGCCCACTTGGTGTCTTGGTGCCATTTTTCCACAGAGATCCACACACATCTTGTTGCCTCTGTGTTGGTTTATCTGGCCATTGTTGTAAAACGTGTACAGTAATGTGTCATTGTGCAGTCATTTTGACCTGTTATTGTATTTTATCTGACAAAATGTCTGTTGTTGTTGTTGTCTCTAAAGACACAAAAAGCTGTGAGAAACCACACTAGTCGCTACCACGTTTGTTCAGGTGTGATTAGCAACACACTGAAAACATCCCTGTGTAGAATGTGAAGCACATGTAATCTACTGATTATTTCAATCAGGGCAGACATCATATGCCACTTACCATGAGTTCAGACTCAAAAAGATTAATATTATTTCTGCTCTCTTCCGTTTTTACACCTCATTATCATCATCATATGCCCTCTTCTCCTCCTTCTCTTGCTCATCATCACCATTTCCCCCATTCTGCTCATCACACTCACCTCTCCCACCATGCTCACCATTAGATATCTTCAATTATGAAATCCCCTCCATCAATGTCAATCTGGACAGCCTCATCGATGAGTTCAGCGGTGCCCCTTGCAGGAGGTCCGTGGCAGTGACAGACTCTCCAGAGGGGGACGCTGTGCCTGAGGAGGAACCCCAGAGCACCACTCTATGACCTATGACCCTAAGGCATCACAGCTTACCAGCACCCCTATGGCTGTACATACTCTTTAACTGTCGCCACCAAGGCCTGATGGAAACACACATTGGCCTCACCAATGCCCACCTGAAACCAGAACTCGAACACATCTGCTACAGGCTGCAAAGAAACTCATCTCTTACAATTGCTCGCTAGTACATTAATGTCACTACAAAAAAAAAAAAACACCAAAATGCCATAGCGGAGGAACAGTTGCCTTTAGGAGGAAAGACTGGAATATTGATGAGTATTACATTAAAAGGTTTTTTAATTGTTTTCTCCCTTTTTTTTTTGCTTTGCTTTGTTCATTTTTGTTGTTTGATGCAGTGATCGGTATTTCTGTGAGTTTTTCAATTTATTTACATTTCTTTTGCCTTATTAGAACATGCAATCAAATTGCAATATGATAACTTTGACAACTTTTGTTTAGGGAAACTCAGAGCCTGACATGGTTAGGAGCAAAGCCCATCCTCAGGGTGAATCAGAGAGACAGAGTGTGAGAGTAGTCTTGTATTGCTTACAGGGTATTCAAGCTTTGTGCACATTAGGAAAATGCTGAGCCCTAGAGTGAGGTTTGACGTGCAGGATAAAACATTTAATGCAGTTTAATTCTTATTGTCACTCCTAGTCTTTACTTCCCCTCCTCTATCATATATTACAACTGTAGTTCTTTATCTGACGTCTACCTTCACACAGGTAAACTCACTTTAACTCACTTTATACCAGCACAGTATGAGAAGAATGTTCCTGTAAATTAAATTTTTTGAACTTGCATCTCCTATTCAGTTTTGAAGAAAGCCCCACGACGTGTTTGCATGACGAGCCAATATGAACTGCTTTGGATCAAGGGCCTCAGAATGGCAGTGTTTTATTTCCTGCGAGTGTTTCTGTTGTTGTTGTCCTTGGAGAGTAAATTTAGACCACCCATGTGCTGTTACAGTTTGATGATAACGGATGGATGACTACACTGCCTTTAGGTTCGTATGATTCTCTCCCTTAACCTTGTTTCAAGTGCTTCAGGTTCAGTGACCTTTGACCCCTAGTGTAAATACAAAGACTGTACATAAATTGATGTATATAAATGAGAGGAAAAGTATATGTAAAATGCATATCTTGAATATATATATAATAATATATGTGCTGATATTTATCATGTGTAGAAAATGTAATGATTAAAAATTTGATGTTATTTTTGTCCCTGCACACAATGAACAGGTTTACTGTAGATTCGTAATGTTTCACTTTAACACCAGGTTACAACGATGCTGCAGCAAAAATGCAGGATGTTATTTCTGCTAGAAATCAGTTGTGGTCTTTCTAATTCTGTCTCCTGAGCTTTGACTTCAAACATGCTAAAGCACTAATGAGTTGCACACTAATGCCCTATCTTTTCTTCTTTTTCTTTTTAATCAGTTATTTAATAGATTCTTGTGTAAATAATTAGATTACGTTAAGAACCCTTGGACAATTTAATTATTACATAATGAGGATATATGTAATCCTAAGCCTATACTGTTGGAGTAAAAATATGTGCTCATTCAATTAGTAAGAACTTAACACACCTGCTGTATCACCTCTAAAGTTGAAAACCTTTGTGTCCTTTATTGTTATTTTCACCACAGACAATTAATTATAGGTATTTCAAATTCATCTGATAACAGATGCTGCAGTGTTACTTTTTTTAATTCCATACGAATTGTCTTAGGACAATAATTATGTCAATTAAAGTGCAATTACAGTGTTTACTGATCCACCTCAGTCCAAAAAGTGGTCAAAGTCACCCTTCCCAAACCTACAGAAAAAAAGCCATTAATTTTATTGCAAAGCAATTCATATTTTCTTTTTAAGTTTGTTTTATGTGTGTGTTTACTTCTGACAAAATGAATTCTAGATTAACCTCTCTCCAAAAGTGATTTATGGTATGCCTCAGTGTGTGCTCTCAATGGACTATGTTTATGAAGATTTTGGTGATGTTGATAATTATATTGATAGTTGTGGTGATTATAATGTATGACAACAATTGCAAGTGCCCTCACACTGGTTGTTATTTTGGAACTATAGGCATAATTAATGTGTACTAGAGGTTTTATTTTCTGTGCTGGATCCATACATTTATACGAGGAGGCAGGGGTTTCTCTCTCTCTCTATGTGCAGACTGAATGTGACTCACTAAGATTTCAAACAGTAGGCTACCTGATTTTGTAATAACTTGCAGGCAAATGAGAGCTCGTGTTTGGATGAAGGTTAATTAGGGCCTGATGGCATGTATTATTATCAGTACAGGGCAGTATTACTGCAATGCTTTTGTGCGTCATAACTGGAACTTACAGCCACCTAAAAGCATGCATTCATATTCATTATAGGTGTGATTACTATGCTGCTGAAAAGAAGAAACAAACATCTGTGCCCTCCCCCAAAACACAAGTCATAATTTCATCACATGTCTAATTTCAGTCATAAATTAACCTTACAGCCATTTTCAAGAGCATATACATAAGAGTCGCCTTTTGCACCAAATAGTACACTGTTTTATCAGGCATTTTAACTACTGTAGACCTACATTTCCTAATTCACCTCACCACCAAGTATGTTGGTCTAAAGTAAAGCTCAATTTGTTTACATTTTGTGGGGGGGATTTTAAATGAGAAAAAAGGAAAATCTGAAGTGTCATGCATGCGCTTAGATAGTCTTTTGATAATCCACGTTTTGTGTCAATCACTTGTCTTTTTAGGGATTGTAAGAGGGGTAAAATGTAAAGAGGGACTCTAGAGAATGTGGATCACAATAGATGGTCCTTTGTGGGTTTTTGAGCAATACGGTAGAGGAGTAGATGTTGCCTGTGGATGTACTGCCTCCTTCTGCTTTCACTACTATTGTACAAACAAAACCTGCCGCTTGTCAAGCCCACCATTCCCACCCCTTCCTCCTCTGCTTAGCATATCAAGTGGAACACAGTGTGTACTGTGAAGCCTACCTGCAATCCTTATCAGAATGTCAGAAATAAATATATATATATTAAACTCTACATTTTTAATAATCTCACCTGGTTCATGTGGGTTTTATTTCATTTCTTTTTCTGGAAAAGTACTCATTTTAATATGAATATTTGATTATCCCTGACGACAGAACTGTTACTTACGACTTTACACTGCCCGTGAAATGTCCTGGAAGCAGTCGCAGAGACTACGTTATTTACTGGAGTAATGAAGGACAATTATGAGGTACCTTACTAGAGTATTTCCATTTTCCACTGCTTTATACTACATTTCAGAGGAAAATTCTGTACTTTTTACTCAACTACATTTATCTGACAGCTATAGTTGTTACTTTTCAGATTACATTAAGATTTACATTAAAAAACACAATGGGCACATGAAATACAACATTTTGTGAAATGTTGTGCTTTGCTTCCAAAAAGAATAGTATGGGTTCCTTGTCATGTTTCAGATGTCTATAAGTTAGCAGTTCCACCAAAAGGACATTGCCCCTCTAAACTTCCCACGTGACTGTTCAAGACCCAAAGGAGGTAATCCAATAGTTCACAAAAACAAGCATTAGAGAAAAATCCCAAGAACTGAAAGCAGATTTTGGGGAATTTAATTTGTTTTGTTTTTGTCCCCTTGCATTAATCATCTCATAACCCATCAGATTTATTTTGTGGTAGCAAAACGTTGATAAAACTACAGTAGATATAGTGCTGTAATGTCTTGATGCATCAGCATTAAAAATATAATAATATCACATATTCTACTATATCAGTCATAGGGAGCATTTTACTGCAGAACCATGTACTACATTTTGTCAATAATACTTCTTATAGATTTTATTTTTATTTATTTTTTTGAGTATTTTTTCATTATTGGTACTTTTACAAAAGGATCTAAGTACTTCTTCCAGTACTGCCTGGAGCTTAATCCTGCCATAGGAATGTGTGCAGAAGTTTGACAGCTGGTTCTTTGAGCAATTTTCACACTCATCGTAGAGCTCTTATCTCTTTGCTTTAAAACTGGTAATTTTTTTGCATTTACAAATTTACAAGGTTGACGTGCAAACCACCAAAAGACAAGATTAATCAGATAAAATAAATCATCAATATCGTCCTCCCACACTCTGTGAAAGCAGGTATGACTGTAAAGCAGAAGCCTCCCCATGTGTGCAACCTGTAGGACTGGCCCAGCAGGATGGCTGAAGGCTTACCGCAGGAGGAAACTAGGAGTGTACACGTTTGTCAGGATGGTGATGATACTGGCAACTCATGAACTAGTTTTCCATTTGTTTTGAATCACCAACCCATGGTTGCATTGTGCTGGTCTCTGCTCCATCTCAGTCTGGATTCTTAAAGAGTCGGTGGTAATCTAATGCTGCAGTCCAGCAGTGTATCTCCTTACAGCACCAGCACAGCTCATCCCTTCCTGATAGTCTATCTCCTTCCGACTGCCATGGGCACATCAATTATTTCTTACTTAAAACTTTAAAGGTGGCTCTGTTTACACCGTCTTTGTACACACTACTGGCTAATGAGCCAGTCACATGTTGTATAGGATATTACTGAGGGTCTAATACAACCACTAACTCCCTCCAACTCTGTGCATATTTTAAAAAATCCACTTGATCAGCATGTGTGAAAAGTTTAACATGGAAATTGCATGAGAACCTTTTTAAATGTCTGACCTTTCCTTGTGATGTAAGGAGGAGAGAAGGTCAACATGATGTATATTTTAACAAGGTCTTTATTATCACACTTGCTTCTTCACTTTACCAAGCTCATGTCTGGCTGCCAAAATGTAACCTGACTAAAATAATCCTGAAGTTGGGATAGAGGTTGTAGCTCTGCAAGTTTTCAGTCCTAAAGTTGCTTAGAAACAGTGTATCCAACAACAGGGTAACTTAACAATGAACTGAGCTGCTTTAACAACAATGGGATTAAGTCAGATAAATGTTTTTTATTTAAATGCTTTTTTCCCTACCAAATATTTTTCTAATTGTTGATTATTATTAATTATAATCTCAAAATTTCCTCTCTAGTTGAATTTACAAACTTTTGAATGTGCCTGCATGTTTGCTTCTCATAAACAGGTAGAACATGTCACAGACAGGAATGCAACACAAAGGACTTTGCTGTCAAGGCTTTCCCAACCTTCAGACTGTTGCTTGGTAATGCCCATAAAAGACTTGGACATGCCAATAAAATCAGGAAAATACCTAATCACATTTTAAAACCATTAAGTACACATTATTAAATTGACAAAATTGTACATTTTCAGTGGGTCGATGATTCACTGAAATGCACATTTTAATCAGAAAAAGAAAAACTGCTTCACACACTCCATTGCATAACTAGTAAATACGATACTGGACCAGATGTTTTCTATAAATGTCAGTTCATTATTCCCCATTGGCACTTCATAATCCACACATCCACATATCACGGGGCTATGCCAACAAAATCCAGGGTAAAGTTGCAGCCACCAGTGCGAGTATAGTAAATGCTGACAGCAAAACGATCAGGCATCGTGCAGTTGTGCAAATCTTGCGCCTTCGCCTGCGCTGGGGTTGAACCACAGTCATCACAACGCTGAGCACGTCTTCTTCGGCCATGGGTCGCCCTTGAGCGCTTATGATAAAGATCTGAGACGCATTGTGGCCGGGGCTGATCAACCTCTGTCGACGGACTCGTTCAGAGATTCCCCTAAAGCAGTGAGCAATCCAATTAACTCCCCTCGGTAAAGTGTCCCTGGAGGAGCGTCCTGCGCTCTGGAGCTGTCCCGGTGGCAGAGGAAGAGGCACCTCTAGTGTCTGCCCTTCATCTGGATTCTTGTCCGCTGCGAGGGACACCAACGCTTCCTTTTGTTTCTTGATAAATGTAAGATGTCGGCAGATGGGGCAAGCAATAGTGTCCCTGATGTTCCCATCGCTGTTGATGCTGACCCATGTTTTGACCAGACAGTCGTGGCAGAACACATGCCCGCAGCTCAGGGTCCTCTCTGATCCCGACAGACAATCATAGCACACTGGACACTCCTGTGAGTCCTCCTGGCTCTCTTCCTTGTGAAATGCCATGGAAGGCAATATTCCAGCAGCAAGAGAGTGGGGAGGATATTTAGGCTGAAAGTAGATTCCTTGGTAAATGTAGTATGGATTCCTCTCAGCGCATGACTTTCTTTACTTTTGGCTGTGGGTGGAGGCGAGAGCTGCGCCTTGTAAAACAGGGCCTGCCACCTGTGGCTGCTGTGACTTGACTGATTGGGTCCCCTGAAGGCATCATCAAGTGGCCAAGCTGGTTCACTGACAGTGACTCCTTAACAATGCTCACTGACATTCTATGACTATTAGCAAAACTATACCACCTGATCAGCTGGTGATATTTGTTAAAGCTGTAGGTAATGAAATGATGATGACAAAGCCCTTTAACTCGTGTTTTTATACAAAGTATTTAGATGTGCAAATAAAGCAATTGCCCCTTTATTATTAAGTATGAGAACTGGGTAAATAACCTCGTGTGAAATGTCATATTTTCCACATCAAAATAAAAGGGGCATTTTGAGTTAAGTGCTTTTGTAAATTATTTTATTATTTATTTTGGCCTATTATTTTTGCACAAGTAGTGAGAATATTGTTTTAACTTTCAATGGTGTAACATAATAGGAGTACTCTTTTTCATCATATAGGATGGTGTCTGTATGCAAGTAGCCTAACCCACAAATCTTTCACAGACTTTGGGAGATGCTGTCCTGCCCTGAGTGTATGTTGGAGCAGTGGGTCAGCGTAGCCCAGTGTGTTAAAAGACCTGACATCTCCTAAATTTGTATTTATGTTTTCATCAAAAATCATAGTGTACAGTTAATAATAATCTTGGTCTATGTGTTTGTCTCATGGGGAACAACAGAGAGTAATGTGCATGGGAAACTTTGAATGAGCATCACCATGGAGGAAACCACGGTGTTGACTGGTCTTGATAATGTTGCCAGTGCATGCGAAATTCTCCTCAGCTTGACACCCTCCATTTTGGAAACTGTGATTATTGTCAGCTTTCATGGGACTACATGTGTGAGTGCTGTGTAAAGCTAAAGCCCAGTTAAATATTGCAGGGTGATGATGATTGTTTATCTTTGATTTGGTTGACAATTTAAAGTTTAAACAATGTTAACATTTACTCTGCTGTTTTTACAGGAAAGAAAAGATACTAACAAGAATGACTGAATGTTGACATTGTGAGATTTCCTTTTCAATTTCAGTGAATGTGTTAAAATAAGAATTGTGTTTACTATAATATTCTTTGTGGATTTGATGCTCAAAAAAACAACTCAAAAATGACAACAACAACAAAACAGAAATTATTTTACATTTTACTCAATTTAATCAAGTTTGATGTCATTTGTATACTGTCTTAATAAAGTTGTTTGAACTTATTTCCTTTGCTTTTTCATGTACAGTAGACCCTACTCAGTTTTTAGCCTTGCAGTTACTGTATATGCCTATACCTAACTCACCAAAAGTTCACCAAAAGATATAGTTGGAAAATGTAGCCTCAAAGTAACAGTTTTTAATAGAATTTCAATTAATCAAATTAATGATGTAGGCCCATACAATAATAGTAATAATTGAACTGTGAGACAAAAAGGGCAGTGGTGTAGAACAATAGCAATTAATGGCACAGTTCACAGCTAATAATGGTTAAAAGAAAAAGAAAGAAAGAAAAAAGGAAATAAACGAGGAGGAATCAATTAGTCTAATATAGGTCAATAAAACAATTAGCCTACCCACTATTAGGTAATATTATGTTATTTGCTCTTGGTGTTTCCCCTCCCTGTGTCATGGTTTATTCTCTGGCAATCATATGCCACCTCGTGGTTCACTGCAGTGACCACTGTGCGGCTACAAATCTTCAGTCCTAAAAAAAACAAAAAAACAAGGGAGGAGCGGCTGATTCTAGTTCATCTATTTCTACAGCAGCCCTGCCCAGTTCTGACGTAAACGTAAACTACGTCAGCACGTACGTCCCTGTCACGATTTACGTCGGTTCCGGGAGACGCGTTGGCAATTTCCTAAACACAGCTCAGTCACTTCAGTATCATCCGAGGCCAGGGCAGGGGAGAGGTGTGCGTGTGTGTGTTGGATGTAACACCGGCTGGAAGACGAGCTGCTGAAACAGAGGACCGTTGGACACCGATTTGACATGAGCAGGTACCGAGTTTAACCGTGAATTTATCCCGTTTTGATGTGTTTTACCCGGTTGTGTGTCGAGCTGTCGTGTTCAGCCGCGGCGTCTGTGTGATGACAGCTCGAGCTCGGGTTTAAATGTCGAGAGGGGTTTTTTCCTTTGATTTTGTTTTTTGTTTTTGTTTTTTGCTTCAAATGGCATTTCCGTTTTTGTGTGGTATTTTCCTTTTTCGTTTGACAACATAAAGCGTTGCTGTTTGGCACGAACCTGAGCTTCTGAGGTGTCTGTCAAGCCACGCAGTATCAGATAACACACACTAAATCTGGCCTCATAAATGTCTGTCTGTTTATTTTTAGTGCTCCAATTTGTGTCCTGTTTGTAAAATATGCATGTTCGCAGTCAGTGGCAGCTATTTGTGATGCATGTCAATTGTCATTTTTTTTAAAGCAACGCCTTATTTTGTTGGTTTTTCATGACCAGTGGTTCATTTGAATCTCTGAGATTCATGCAGCAGCACAAGGGGCCAACATATGAGCCCAGGTGAGGGTAACACTACCACCACACCCTGTAAAGTCTGATTATTACTCACATTAGAGCAAACCAATATCCTACAAAGAGGTATTTGTGTAACAGTCCTCTCATGGGCCTAACTATAAAAACATGACCACATCAGTGTCCGCACTCTCAACTCTTAGTAAGCGCCTCGTCATCTCCAACAAAAGAGGACGTAGAGACAAGAATGTGGGAAAGGAAACTCTCTTCACGACCTTCCCCCTGTCTGTAGTTTCCAGATGGCTCCACGGTAAGTGGAGTGCCACCAGCGCCACCCTCGCTGCCTGTGGGCCCTGCTGCCTGTCCAGGTATTGTTACAACAGACAAATGGATCCACGGGGTCAAGCTGACACCGCTCCAAAGGATGCTGAAATGAGAGATAACAGGCACTGTCATTTGTTCTGGCCGAGTGTCAGCACTTGACCTGTTACGTGATACGCGTAGGGGGATCTCTCTATTGCCCTGTTTGATTTAAGTGTCCAGTCATTCATTAGTGGGTTGATAAATAGCCTTGCCTTTTTTTTTTTTTTTTTCAGGGGGTGATTATCCCAATTAGGCCTTTGATCTGAGTCACCATGGTAACAGTTTCCTGTCGCTCGTGCCTTTGGTGAGGCCCGGGGATCAATACGAAGCACCGGATCCCAGTCATAAAGTCCCATACCTAATGGAGTTCTGATAAGTTTGTTAGATGAGCTGGGAATACAGTCAGAAGAGATATTTTGGGTTGTTCCCGGACAGATTGGTAGGAGCCTCCCAGGTCACGTCATACAACTAACATGTTATGTCAGTGGCGGCCTTGGAACATTTCCCTTTCTCCACCCTTACGGTATTTTGGGTCTCCAGTTTCCTCCGTGGTTTCCAGAGTAGTGCACTGACACGTGAGGGGCCTGTAGCGAGTAAATTGTTGATGACGCCATCTCAGAGGAATGTTTAAAGGGAAGAGCAGGCGGTCTGGCCTCTGAGTCTAGACCACCGGCTTCTTGGCAAAGGAAAACAACACATCCCACTCCTTGCCTAAACCCAAGCCAGGCTAGTATGGTCAACATGTAATAATAATAGTAATGGCTACAGTAAGATGTACCACAAGATGTTCTTATTTACATAACCACTTTTTACACAGGCAGTTTAAACGATAATCAAGCCTTCAAGCCCAAAACTGTTGTTTCTTGGCCTTCAGTCCAGTTCAGGGTGTTGTTTCCTGTGCCTCATCCACCCGTTGTCTGATATAATCCCTGTTTGCATTATGAATACTCCTGGAGCTACAGTAATGGGAGCTGTGGTGGCAGCAGCTGTATTTCACCCCCGCACAGAACACACACAGACACGGCAGCTATTTCCAGATGTGTTTAATAATTTCCTGACACCTTGTTAGTCCACATAGATCACAGAGTGACGCAGAGTTTATGAGCTCACCAGGAAAGAGGAACGACCGTCGAGTAAAGTGTTATTTCTGCAAAACAGGGCGGAAGCTAGAAAACATTTCACACTTGGTCAAGACTTCTGAACTAAAAGTACAACAGACAGCTTTGATCTACTCGGCATTAGCCGCACTTAATTATCGTGGATTTGCCGTTAATGAATCAGTTATGCTGACATCACGTGAATTGAGCTGACAGGTTAGAAAGGAGGAAGAGGCACACTTTTGCAGGCTAGTCCCGGTCACAGAAAGGCTCAGTTTATCAAAACCCAGCTTCTGAAAGACTGGCGGCTGTAGTCAGTGATTCATGAGTAACTAAGGAGGACATGACCTCAGAACGGCTGGGTGACATGACCAGGCCGATCTGACTCTGTGTGTCGCTTTCCAATACAGAGAGATCTGCTGTTATCTGCTCCACTGAGGAATGAGGGAAATGTTTAATCTTGAGTTGTTTTGGCTCTGAGATAAGAAGGGGGAATTCACTGCATCTGATTCTACACGCCTGAGGATGCGAATAGCGAAAGTGCTGCACCATGCTTGAGTCACCTGGTTGACTGCGGGGCTAATAAATGCGTCTCTTTTTATCCTCAGGTTGCCCTGACATGGACAAAGAGATGATTCCCAAATTTTCGTCAAAGGATGAGGAAGTTGACTACTGGAAGTCCCAAGCCCTCAAATATAAGAAAAGGTAGGCGATGTGATTTACTTGAACCAAATATCAGATGTCAGCAATTCCCTATGTAAATTCTGAACGGCAGCTCACTCTTTCGTAATAGGAAGATGCTAATTTGCTGAATGCGAGCTTTAAAGTCGGCACAGAAGTCCTGTGTTTAGCCATATAAGGCATTTGGCCAGACAAGCTTTTTGAAATCATTGCCCACAAACAGCTGTGGTTTGCTCAGGAGGAAGTGACTACATCTTTGACTTCAACAGTGACCACAGCGTGTGTTGGGACAGACGGCAGTGGTTCTTCTCTGTGAGCGTGTAAATATAAATTGCTGTCTGTGTTTTATATTTGCGGAGTTGGGGCCCTTCATGCTCTCAGAGGAGGTGGTAAACTGCGCAGTGAGGGTTAAACTCCTCGTGGTTCTCTAAGAAATTCCTGCTGTGGGTACATAAGGGAAAAACTTCAACCCCATGGAAAAAATAACACCAAGTATACAGTTCACTGTGGCTCGTCTGTTTTTGTGCATTTCTAGGGATCGCTTTTACAGTAAAGCGCTCACAGTGGCAGCATGCAGTGTTTATTAGTTACCTATTGACAGGTTATCTCTCTGAAGCGATATTTTTAAACTTGCGACTAGGCTATTTGGACATCCTACAGTTGATGCTGCCCTGTGTTGCACATACACGGCACTGTCGCCATTCTAAACTATGAAAAGGGTGAGAGGGCAAGCCTGGCTGTTAAACAGGGAAGTTATAGCCTGCTGATGAAGCAGCCACTGTGGTGTTGGTATGTGTGGAACGACCCTGGCACAACAACTGATTCATGGATTCCAGCCACTGTGAGGCCATTATCCCAGCACGAGTCACCTGATCTGAGAACAGTGGGACAGGCGGAAAAATTAGCGTCTATTTAGACAACAACCAAATATATTTTTACCTTCCTATTCCACCTTGAAATGTTTACTACATTATGAGTTATTGTTTGTGTTTTTAGATCCTCTGCATGGGCTCAACCAGGACCAGTGTGTACACCCATCCTGTTTCTGTGCCCTCTCATTTTCTCTGCACCTCTGACCTTTAACCTCTCCCACAGCTGAGGACGTACGACAGCAGGCCTGTTTTTTTTTTTTTCTGAGCTACTTCCGAACCACCTACTGTCACAGTTCAGCTGTCTCTTTAGAGCTGTATATTTAGAGTGCTTAACTCGACAATGCTGAGCTGTTTCCTGTTTGGCAGAGGCAGGAGTGAAGGTTAAAAATCTCCAAATATCTGACTGGCCTTTTCATGCAGGTTTATTTCCGGCCGTTGGAGGTAACGCTACTAGAACATGCCTGATCCGGGCTCATCTTGCAGCACAAAAGCCAGACAGTTTTCTAGAGCTCGAGCCCGGGGTCAGTCAGCCAGTCAGCTCTGCAGAGTTGAATGGCGGACAGTGAACAGGGAGTCTGGTAATTGACAATGATTGTTTATGTTTTTGCTCACTGGCTGTGTGTGTGTGTGTGTGTGTGTGTGTGTGTGTTTACCATCTAGTTGCCATGATGCCCAGGAGGAGTTGCAGGAGTTCCAGGAAGGGAGCCGGGAGCTGGAAGCTGAGTTGGAGGCCCAGCTTGGCCAGGCCGAACACCGTCTTCGAGACCTCCAAAGCGAAAACGAGAGACTGAAGAACGAGATGGCCAACCTCAAGGTAACTGGGCCTGGCAACTTGCCCGTGTAGCTTATTTTGGGATTCGGCTTGCTTTTATGGTCTATGGGTTAGGACACCTATAAACTAATTTGCTGTTACTTAAGAGGTTTTGCGATCCCAAGGACAAGGTCCAGTGTCTTATTTGTATGTGAGGTCTTAATAGGGCTTGCTTTTAGGTAATCCTCCAGCTCTACTTAAGTGGATGTCAGGATAAAGAGGAAGAAAATAGAAAACTGCAAGGACAAGTCTGGTTCTTAATCACTGCAGGCATGAATGGTGGTGTTGGTGATCATGTCCATAGTTGAACAAATCACTGTGTATACATTCAGGAAATTACCATAGCCACAAGAGAGCAGAAAAGTATTGTGATTTTTCACATGGCCCAACATGTGAGCAGCAGCTAATGCTAAAAAATGAACCGTGTCAGTGAACCAGAGAGATCATGAATCATGCTCTCCTGTCTTTGTCCCTAAGGGGCCTCAATACAGGCATGTGGCCGTGCCATTAGCTGTACTGTAAAGCACCCCAGGGCAAATGAGCCACAGGGCCTCCCCAGGGAACAGAGAGGCTCTTTGAAAGTGAAATTATGTGAAAGAACACCTATTAACTGTCTGATGATTCACCGTGTTGTAGTAGGGGTGCTGTTATTAATGACATCGTGTATAGAATATAAAATTGCACTTTCACGCTTTAGAAGAAATACATGAAAGAAAGAATCATTTTTTTTGGACCAATAATGATAAGAATTTGAATAATGATTGACATCCTTTATTCTCTACACAAAATTACTCCTGAACTCCTTTCTCTTCTTTACTCTATCCATCTCTATCAGGAGAAGCTAGAGCATCAGTACGCCCAGAGTTATAAACAGATTTCTATGCTAGAGGACGACCTGGGCCAGACACGCAGCATCAAGGAGCAGCTCCACAAATACGTCCGAGAGCTCGAGCAGGCCAACGATGACCTGGAGAGAGCCAAAAGGTCAGACTGACACAGTACATTTTGGTCAATGCATGTCTCATTATTACACATTGATATTATAACATTCTTTTATTTAAAAACTGTACTTGCCCATTTACTTGTTGGTAGGTTATTACAAATTGGAGATTAGTAAACAAGGGTTAGAAAGATTATTTATAAAGATTTTTTAGAAGTTGATGCAAAAAATATCCCCTGTATGTCTGTAACATTACTAAAGTGAGAGTTGACATAAATGAACAGTCCACAGAGCATAGGCATGTAAAAAGTGGTTGTGAATCTATGTTTATAATATGACTCTGGTGATTGATGGTTCACTAAGCCCCGCCCTCCTTAGTTACTGTTTTTATGCCTAGTCAAGCTTTCCGTTCAACCAATGAAAATGATTCCTAGTTACG